GAGCCTTTGTAAATGGCCTTCGCATGTGCATTTGTGGGGAATTGTATTTCTGGTACTTGATAGTAGTGTTGGTGGAAGCTTAATACGAGAATCTTTTAAATGCAAACATTTTTTCATTTGCTAATTTCGGATTTGCTTGGAGTTCATCGCAGGGATTTCTGCAATTAAACGAAGTTCACATTTTTGGGTATGCGAGGACTAAAATTTCAGATGATGAATTAAGAAATCGTATACAAGGGTGAGATTTTTGTATTCTTAGTCCAAATGAATGAAATCATATAAATATAGACACTGTTATTCTATTTTTTGGTCTGTATACTTCACAGGAGTAAAGATATTTCTGCTATAATTTTCATGCTCATGGATGGAATTTGCTATTTCTTTCTGTGGATAGTGCACGTGGTGACTTCCTCTTATCCATTGACCTTTTAATTAATGATTGTAGGTACCTTTCTTCAGGAAATGAAGGCTCAGAAGATGTATCAAAGTTTCTGCAATTGGTCAGTATATGACCTGCCACTTATATTTCCTTGTTTTTTTAAAACTTTTTACGGATGAGTTAAATAAGCTGATTTGTTATGGCTTTTGTAGATTAAATATGTAAGTGGCTCTTATGATGCTGCGGAAGGATTTCAGGCATTGGACAAGGCAATATCTGAGCATGAAACATCAAGAAACAGCTCTGAAGAATCGTCTAGAAGGCTCTTCTACCTTGCACTTCCTCCATCAGTATATCCACAAGTCTGCAAAATGATCAAGAATTATTGCACAACTAAATGTATGTTTTATGTTGTGAATCAGTTCCAGTACGGCTGATTTCAATCACGTGCTAGTGTTTTGATACTCTTCTAAAGGTGTATGTTTTTTATCAGGCTTCAATTTAGATTCTGGATGATGATAACCTTATAAGAACATATATAACAAATTTTTGTGCATCAGGGCAGATTACCCCGTAATTATATTTATATACATGCATGTACGTATAGAGGTACATCAGTGTTTATCTTATGCTAAGTACCTATGAGATGTCATATCAATCCATATATATATAAGAATCTTAAGTGCAATAATTTTTGAGCTCTTTATTACATCACTTTCTAGCTGATCTTGGTGGATGGACCCGTATTGTTGTTGAGAAGCCCTTTGGGAAAGATTTGGCTTCAGCTGAGGAACTAAGCTCCCAGATTGGAGAATTATTTAATGAACCACAGATTTATCGCATTGATCACTATCTGGGCAAAGAATTGGTGCAGAACTTGGTAATGCACAATGCAATAGTTGCCTGATATTTTTTGGTCCAGTTATCTGAAATTTATCGTTTATTTAATCTCTTGGAAAATATTGCAGTTGGTACTTCGTTTTGCTAATCGCTTCTTTTTGCCACTCTGGAACCGCGACAATATTGACAATGTACAGGTTGGTTTGTTTCCACCGTGCATCTCTCTCTCTCTCTCTCTCTCT